TTTCCCGCCCGCCTCCCCACGCGCCAGCGGGTCTTTCCTCCCCTGGCGAGGGGGCTCCAGCGTGGCCGGGGCCAGAGGAGGAGGCTTTTATTCGGGGGCGGGAGCGTCACGAAAGTGCGATAAGAAAAGGATTTTGCGACCGGGAGGCAGAAGTGCTGCTCTTTGGTTTTCCAGGGAGTAAAGGGGGGAGCAGCGGGTGCATGCATGGGTCATGCGTGGTGGTAACGAATTCTTCCCGAGCCCTCATTGTGTGCCAGACACTGTGTGGAGCCACTTGGGTGCCTCTCGTGTACTCCCGCAACCTGGGGAGGTCGGTGCGATGACTTTCCTCATTTTACAGCGGACTCGGAGGTCCCGCGGTGGAGGGACATGGTCAGAGGCATGCAGATGGTAAGGGGCAGGTGCTTGTTTGCACCCAGGTGGCCTGACTACTGGTCCCCGAGCCTCTTTTATTCTTCATTCCAGCGTCCGATGTGGTCCCCGGGCACCTTGGCCCCCAGAGCACCGGGGGTCCCCTGGGGACAGCCTCCGCCCCGAATGGTCCTGCTGCGAAGGCTGCAGCGGCGTTTGTGCTTGAGCCAGTCCTGGGCTTCCAGGGAGACCAGGGTCGGACGTGGGCTGAAGACAAAGGGAGAGAAAGCGTTTGGGCTTCCTTTCTGTTTGTGTTCGCGTAGGTGGCTGAGGGGTGTGCTGCCCTGAAAGCTCCCGGGAAAAGCATCCGATCAAACGAGTAAGTGCCAGGGAACATGGACAGTGTTCCTCGTCTGATTTGAAACTCACAGCGTGATGATGGGAAATTCCCGCCAGCAGGAAGTTAGGTTCCGATACGAGACCCTGAATCATTTCTCTCTCTTAAAAAAAAAAAAAAGACATCGGAGCAGACTTTTGAGAAAGACCTGCGAGAACATAGTTTAACTTCCTCGTTTTATATAATTGAAGAAAATGAGGTTCAGAGCCATGAGTTTCAGACCTCGGCAGCATGTGTGGGTTAAAACGTGAAATAGGAATGGGGAGGAGGGTGCTCAGTTGCAGGGTAAATCTGACCTATGCCAGGTGAATTGGGGTGACTGAGGTGTGGGCAATCTTTACCCTGGTAGGTAGTTGGGATCTACTGTGGATGACGGCCTGTCTGCATTCAGTTCATTATTTGGCATTTACGTACTGTTAGGCTCCTGTGTATATGCAGACACAGAAGACACTTTCAAAGACCTGAGTGTATATTTTTCTAGTAAAGTTATATTTTAGTTTTTTGAAAGCCAGTATATTCTCTTGGCTTCATGAAATAGTAAATGTTCCTGTGTTGCAGGTCCAAGTCATTGCACCACAGAATTCTTTATTGGGATAAAAGTACAATAAAAGTTTTGAGACTTAATTCATTTGAATTTTGATTAGGATGGCTTTCAGTTTTTGTTTTTGTTTTTAAGAAATTTACCTATTTTGTGTATATAGACACTTTAGGATTGGTCTTGATTTTTTTGCAGTCACAGAGAACACATAATTTAATCTTTGTAAGTAAATTTAAAAACTATCAGGAAGCTTAATATTTGTGTGTCCATTTACCAAATACTTTCCATGTTTCTTAACAGAAAGTAGCAGTAAATATAGGATTGAAATTTTGTATTGAAAAGTTGTATCAATGTTGGTGTTGCCATAAATAACAGATTGCCTTAGAATATAACATTGTTTTACTTGGAACTTGCCTTCCTGTAGCAGTGCCATTTACCTGCGATTAGACATCGGTTTAACTATTGAATTAGCATTTTAAGTTAGCAAATGTTAAAACACTATAATGACCTACGTTTAAACTGAGTTTGAGTCCAGCTAATTTTGTTACTGCTTGAGGTAAGACATACCAATGAAATTATCTTATGCATTAATTGGGGGGAAATTTTGTTACTTTCCCCTTCAAATTCTTCTTTAAGAAATAAAACCCTGTTCGTGGCCTCAGGCAAATGGTTATCAGTTGAGCAGGAATATGAAAACTGATACTTCACACATTGGTAGCCCAGTTGATCTCATGCATTTATTTACCAAGAACAAGTGATTTTTGAAGAAAAGTTGTAATAATGCAAGACTTAGGTGCCATCTTGATTCCCAGCCAAGTCAGAGGTTACTTTTATTATTGTTAAACCCTTTCAATATAAGCTTTTGTGCCTCTTCTAACTGGTGGAGAAGTAGGCAGTTCTTTGTTCTTTATTTAATTCAGTTGCAGTTCTCAGCTGACAGTCTGCTAAGGGAACATCAGGAGATGTGGAAATGTTGGTGACCTACTTTGCAGCAGTTTTTTTGTAATTTACATTATTTTATTTTACTTGTTTTAGTACTTTGAATAGAAAATAAAGGTCAGAGCTTAGTTTTAAATTCTTACAGGTTTTTAAAAAAATCATTCTTTTATTTTTTTAATATTGATTTCAGAGAGGAAGAGCGAGTGAGAGAGATAGAAACATAAATGGTGAGAGAATCAATGATCAGCTGCCTCTTGCACATCCCCCACTGAGGATTGAGCCTGCAACCTGGACAAGTGCCCTTGACTGGAATTGAACCTAGGACCCTTCAGTCTGCAGGCGGATGCTCTATCCACTGAGCCAAATCAGCTAAGGCTTCTTACAGCTTTTTGAATTGTATATGACTCCTAGGACGGATAAGGAAATGTTTAATTAAAAGATGAAATTTAATATAAAGCCTGAATTTGTGACCTAAATAAATTTTTTCTTTTTGCCAGTTTAATAAAATTACTCACTTGACCTTACAGCAAATATTGTGTTTTTTAAGATAATATTTCAGAATTTATATATGCATTGTATGTTCAGTAGTGCTTTAAGACTGCTTTGGAGCCCTGGCTGGTGTGGCTCAGTTGGTTAGGCGTCGTCCTGTGCACTGAAGGGTTGCCATTTCCATTCCTGGTGAGGGCACATGCTCCAGTTTCAGCTCTACTCGGTGGAGGGGGGCAGGCAGGAGGCAGCTGATTGATATTTTGCTCTCACATCCATGTTTCTCTCTCCCTCTCTCTCTCTCTAAAAATCAATACAAAAATCTTAAAGAGCCCTAGCTGGTTTGGCCCAGTGGATAGAGCATTGACCTTCGGACTGAAAGGTCCTGGGTTCAATTCTGGTCAAGGGCATATATCTTGGTTGCAGGCACATCCCCATAGGAGGTGTGCAGGAGGCAGCTGATCGATGTTCCTCTCTCACTGATGTTTCTAACTCTTTATCTCTCTCCCTTCCTCTCTGTAAAAAACTAAATAAAATATATTTTTTTAAAAGAAACATATCCCAAATGAAAGAAGACAATACAACCGGCTCAGTGGAGATAGAGCATACCTTCGGACTGAAAGGTCCTGGGTTCAATTCTGGTCAAGGGCATATATGCAGAAGATCAGTGATTCTCTCTACTCATTGATGTTTCTGTCTTTCTCTTCCTCTCCCTTCCTCTCTGAAATCAATCAATAAAAAATAAAAAAATTAAAAAGGAAATCACTTCCAAAGAGAACATGAAAAAAAAAATCTTAAAGAAAAAGACTGCTTTGTACAAAACTTAATTGACTTTACAAAAGAAGATAATTGTCAGAGTAGGTAGGCTAAAAAAAAATCAAACTGCTCTTTTCTCCCCTGGCTAATCAGTTCTTAACATCTAGTGTGCAAAACCTTTCGTGCAATAATGTCCTTTCAGCCATGTAGTTACATTTACATTGAGCAACTGTAATCTCACTTGTAGTTGGTGATCACACTGTGGCACTTAACCAGGTTTATGTTGTTATTTTTATTTTATTTTTTTGTTAATCCTCACCTGAGAATATTTTTCCATTGGTTTTTAGAGAGTGGAAGGAAGGGGGAGAGAAAGAGAAACATCGATTGGTTGACTCCTGCAGGTGCCCAACCGGGGCCAGGGATTGAACCTGCAACTGAAGCATGTGCCCTTGACCATAATCACATCTGAAACCCTTCAGTCCGTGGGCTGACACTCTATCCACTGGGCCAGAATCGGCAGGCAGGTTTATGTTTTTAAATCTCAAAAATAAGCTTTTTGTTTACTTAAAATTTTTTATTTTAAGTATTATTGGATACCTTGTCTGGCCTTGATTGGAAAAGCTAAATTGCAAAAGCTAGGAATAATTGACACCCGATGAGTGTGTTTTATAAAGCAGAAAGTAAATATGAAAATGCTGTGGCGTAGTAAGTTCTTATTTTTTAGTAATATATTTTTATTGATTTCAGAGAGGAAGGGAGAGGAAGAGAGATTGAAGGGGAGAGAGAATCACTGAATCACTCACTGATCGGCTGCCTCTTCTGCACGCCCACTACTGGGGATGGAGCTCGAAACCGGAGCCATGTGCCTCTGACCAAAATCGAACCTGGGACCTTTCGTTGGCTCTATCCACTGAGCTAAACCAGCTAGGGCAGTAAGTAAGGTCTTTACATGATAGATTTCCCCTCTGTCCTTGGGCCAATCTCATAATATTGCTTAGCTGTCTAGCC